TGTTTATTTAAAGAGATAAAGAAATCGGTTTTAACTAAATTCGAATAAAAAATTTGTGACATTTCTGAACGGGCCAAAAAATCAATCTGTACTCCTTAATTTTTCATTTTTTTTTTTTTTTTTTCAAGGCGGCAAGTGTTTGGTCTACCCGCGATACACTGATAAAAGTGAAAAGGATCATTCATAGAGGAAAGAGATGACAGCTGAGTTTACATATGAGACAAAGCGTTCCATTTCGAACAGAAACAGTGTGCGATTGACCTCACGAGAAGACAAGGGTTGATGGGCTGAACAATATTTGCTCGCTTAGTTGATAAGCGATGGACATCGCGCATCAGAGTGATGACTGCGAGCAGACAAACGATAATTCGGCTAGCCTTCGAGAAAGACGCACTGAACAAACGCTGAGTGCTAGATGCAGGTGTGTAGCTCAAAAGGCCTGGCATAACTGCGTCTGGTATGTTTGAGCTTCCCATAATATCACTGACATTTGATCGCCAAACCAAAGGTCTAAGTGATTTTAGTATTTCTCTTTCTCCCTCATTCTCTCTCTCTCTCTCGGCAGCGACTACTGCTCGATTCAGGCGCAAACTCATTATCTGGACCCAGTACTGGCGGAACATTTGCCCATCTAATTGCTACTGATGGTGCAACATGGATGGCAGTGGTGAGAAGTGCACGGTCTATGGATTACGGATCTGCAAGATGGCAAAGCACTGCTCATGTGCTTCCATCATCATCCAGTTTTCGATGCAGCGTTGTAGTATGGACTGAACCTGCCTTTCAGTCCCTGCTACATATAAGTATGTGTGTGAAGATTCTTGTGAGACATGTGCTGAATGCGCAGGCGTAACAGTAGGACAGAAATGCTGGGGGTAAAGCTCCGAGCTACTCGAGCAGCTCAACTGCATTTGTAATAATGCTCAGTTTTGGCAATGGTCAAACTTTTCTAAGCATCCATAGATTTGTTGGTTTTTGAGTATTAATTAATTAACCTGATTAACTTAATATTTCGAGTTAGTAATATTTGACTAATTAAGTTAATATTAAATTAAAATGTTTCTGTTAGATATGACCTAGTAACATTTTGAGCGACCTCGACGCAAATGAGGTATTGCTGTACTTTCTTCCAATCTGAAAAGCTGTTTTTTTTCTGCGAAACTGCATTAAGTTTCGTTTGTGGAACTGCATTAACACATGTAAATCGTAATATATCGAAACATCTTTGCGCAAATTCCAATTCCTTTTTTTGTTATAATCTAGTATTAACTGAGTGTAATCAAAGGTTATTAAATGTAAGATGTTTTCGGAGCTACGAAAGTGCATTCTCAAACTCGAATTTTTGCATGCTGGACCACCGTCACAGTCGTGTGTTCTGCACTAAAAGGTTCTCTTTCTTGGGAGGCAGAGCGAGGGACACAGACAAATTGATTTCCTCTTATAATCAATTCACAACGCTCGAGCACAAGCAACTCTTTCCCATTTGCTCTTTGGGATGGATAACTTCGCTGAAAGGCTACGGTGATGGCAGTTGAAATGTTCGTGCATTCCTTACTGTTTCAATTCGATTAGCCTAACGTGTATTATTAGTTAAGCGAATAGTGCATTTCTGTCTGAGTCGAAAATAACCATCTGCACCGGTTCTTCGATGGGTGTCAAGGAGGCTGCGCATGGATTGGCGCAAAAACGAGAATACGTGGAACGCCCTGCATTATCAGTAGTGCAGTCTTTTTCACAAAAAAAACAGAAAAAAAAAGAAAGAATCTTAATTAGTGAATCTGTATTTGTTAAATTTGTTTAGAGTTTGTCGTGGATTTTTTTGGTGCCCTTGGCGTGCTGCTGTTTCGTGACGCGTTAAGATTTCGGCGTTATCGCTAACTTGTTTTCAGGATACTCGTTCTTAACGAAGGATTGTTTATTTCAGGCTGTCAGAGTACAAAAGGGAAAGAAATTTCCCAACCGCCGTTCCCGGCCAGTGGATCGGTCTTTTCATTTATTTTTGTATAGGCGCGAATGCCCGTGCAAAGGCGATGGCCATGCGGATTGAACTGGACTAGGGTAGCCCTTGGAGCTACCTTGGAACGCATTCCCACTGCTGTTCCAGTGAAATCGAGGATATTCGCGTCGCGGTGATTATTTTGCTCCTTATTTGCTGGATTATTATCTGCCTGTCATAGTCGAAAGACTTCGCATTATGCTCGTCCTGGTGAATGCATGTATTTCTACTATTTAAATTTCGCTGTAAATTGCATCGAGTACAAATTCACTTGTGATACAAAGGCAGCTCCCGTCCTAATTAACAGAAAGCATTCCTTCTGCTGCTGCCACTAGCACTGTCGCTACTGTAAGTGGTTCTGATTATTTCGAGGATTATTTGTGCAAAGATATTGTGCGGCACTCTCGGTTACTGATTTTTGCTAAAGCCGCCCTTATTGTTGACGCGCCCGTCTCTGTTGTGCTCGGAGAGAGGAGGTTCATTCTGCTCAATATTCGTTTATCCAAGCGATAGCAGTTATTTCAAGTGAATGCAATCTGCCCGGTGATACGCAAGCAATAATATTTCAGTATGACCACAAATGGCGGAAGTCTTGAAGATTGCCATACAAACGTTTTTGCATTGGTAAGCTTCACTTTGCTTTCTTTGACGCTCCCTCTAGTTTATGGAACTTTCTTCGACAGGCTGACTCGTGATGTTTCATCGTGAAACACCTTTGTTCTAGCGATCGACCTTTCCCTGGTGTTGCTTGGTTTCGAGTCGCTGTATTCACATTACTCCATGTAGGCATTCAACTGGATCCTCCCTGTCCATTGCCTGCTTTTACAATGTTCATGTAACACGGCGTGGGTACTGTTCATTAATCCGCCTTGTATATCTGTTCTGTCGGTTCCTTTAATTCCTTCAGCAGCGTTCATTTTTTCGCGGCGCACCTTTTCGATATCAATGCTTGTAGCAACTTGCCCATGAGTAATCAGATAGTGTAGTAAGGGAGAGAAACGGTGGGGAAAAAGCGCTGAGCAAAAGGTGTTTGCAGGTGGGACTAATTAATTAGCAAAAGTCAGTGGTGATTAGTTGAATTTTTTCTTGTTGCTTTCTTTCCACATCGTAAACGAAGGCAAATTTTGCACAGCCACATTATACTTGGCCTGCCGTGGCTTCGCCATGGTTGTATTGAATTTGCGTTTGCTCCATATCTAAGGGCAATTTTTTGAGCTCTAAGTGCAAGCTTTGCACTTAGTCCTTGCTAGTGTGGGGAAAGGAAGATGATTACTTCCGAGTTCATTTCTGTCTTGTAGGAAAGAGCGAGAGCTTATGAAACTGAAGCATGATGTGACAAAAAAGTGAAATACATACTTTTTCTTCCATGGATTTGCATCGTGTCTTGAGCGAGAAGCCAGCATTAACGGAGGGAGGGTAGGAATGGATATAACTGCGAATCAGACAACCAATGGAATCAATGAATGTCAGATTTTGGGCAAGAGTGGAAGGGACAGAGAGGAAGAATTGATTGAAAGACTTCTCTTCTGGAAGTAGTGTGTCTGCCCTCTGCTCTCAAGTGTCCACGTTTTTTGCATGGGAGATTCTAAACTTTAAGGGAGGGGAAAAAAGCGACAGAAAAAGTGCGAATGTCGCAACTGAAGTGCCGGCTTTTCAGTAATAATCTGGCGGTTTAGATGATTTCGATTGATGGAAAATAAAAGTACTGAATAATGCAATAAAAGCGAACCGGCAGGGCAATCCCATCGTTTGTCAGCAGCGTGTCTAGGCAACATCGAAAACAGTGGGGTTTCCACTCTTCTGCCTTTTTTTGTTATTTTTAATTTTTGCACTTTTCAGCAGTTTCCAGTTTTTATTGAGTCTGTTGTGAGTGCTGGTCAAAGCACCAAGCAGGCCGGCGCACTGCAGCATTAGGCGGTGATACAGAACAGAAATAGTGCTGTAAGGTGCCTAGTCACTTTGGCGCACTGCACTGCGTACGCGTTATAATACGCAAATCCTGACCTTTCACAAATTTGTTCTTCGAAGCTGCGTATCTGCAAGTAGTGCTCGCGAGAAAATAAAAGCCACTCAGGCGGTTTCCGAAATAGCTGCACCTATACATTGGACAAGCCGTGGGTACTAACTGGAAGGTTCAGCTCTGAACCGTAGGGCCTTGGGCAGCTGCGAGCAGCATGTGTGGTGTTCCAGCAACATCACTAAAATGATCCGGACGAAGTTCGTATTCTTGGTGAATTTCCAATTTTTTTTTT